GCACACAGGAAACCGACATGACAGATCCACAAGCAACCACAGCGGGACAGCTCCCGCGCCTCGACACAACCAACTACACGTTTTGGTTCGACGCACTGGAAATCTACGCACGGACAATCGACGCCATCGAACAGATCAACGCACCCCACGCATCCGGTGCCCCGGACCCCGATCCAGGCACGGAGGCCTCAAACCAACAAAAAGCAGACCAACTACGCCGAGCCATCATGCAAAGCCTAACACCGGACATCATCAGGACACTACCACCCCACGTACTCCGGTACGAACCGAACGTAATCTGCCGCATCATAAGAGGAGTTGTTGACACAAAATCAACCGAAAATCATGAGATGTTGGACGCTGAAGCCAGAAGCATCAAATACGAACCCGGAACCCAACTCAAAGACTATGTAAGTCAGCATCCGGAACTCAGGTACAAGATGCAAATTGCACGCTACCCCAACATAGATGACGAACGCACGACCGTTCGATACATGATACAGGGGCTCAGCCAGAACCCAGACATGAGCACCCTAGCCATGATCATGGCAGGGCACCCACCCGTCACCATATAGGCTTTCAACCACCACATACAACAAGTGCAATTGATGCAAACACAAACCCCAGCAGCACCCACCACCACAGCACCACAGCACGCACTTCGACACAGAAAACCGCGGGCGCGCTTCCCACGACCAGCCCGAGGCAAAACAACATACCCTCGACCAACGGGAAACCAGGGGCCATGGTGCATACATCACGGCAGCTTAACACACACCACAGAAAAATGCTACGCGCGTAGAAAAACACCCCGCACCAACACGGTCAACGCGCACGCAGCACAAGCCTACGACAGCGACGCAGACCCACACCAGAGCGCCTTGCACGAGTTGCAAGAACGCATACACACCCTTGAAGCGACACTTACCGACGTAGACACAACCGACGGTAAGCCAACTTTCATACTGGACTCCGGTGCAAACCCCACGCATACCGCACGACCCCACGCGAATATGCCACGCAGCACCGGGACACTAACCACGACAGCCACAGCACACCGCGCGCCAATAACACACACGGGACGCATAACCATAACACAGAAGAATAACAAGCTGACAATACCGGCTGTCAACACCCCGCAAGTCAAGGAAAATCTACTGTCCGTGCACGACCTCACGAAGCACGGACAAGTAACATTCGCAAGAAACAAGGCAACCCTCCACCAACCCATCCACCTCCCGCCGCCAATCATGACAGCTGCACTCCGCGACGGGCAATACAGGCTCGACCAAAACGCCACAGCCAAAGGGGCACGCACATACCACCGTAAAAACAGACACATTACAAAAACACAATCCCACACCGCCCCGCGCAACAAACACACCACAACTGCCCCCACCGGGCAACGCAGCAGCTACATACTATTGCGCACACAAAAATCACGATCACCCAACATGCGCACAGCCCCAGGCCCCCCACCAAAATACAAAAAGACAACACAGGCACAAAAACAAATGTCGGAATGGCACCTTAAGCTCAATCACGCCAACCCCAAAACAATTGCGCACATGTCCAATCACAGGCTACTCTCAGCCCTACCCCAAGTACTACCAGACACCAGCGCAACAATAACATGCAGCGGGTGCATATACGGAAAGACCGCACGACGACCGCACAAAAGGGCAATGCACACAGACGACAAAGGCGACAGCCTGTCCTCAGACGTCTGCGGCCCCATCAAACCCACGTCGGCCCACAACGCGAATTAGTCCTCAGAATTATCGACACGAACACGAGATACATTTGGGTACACTACCTAAACAACCGCGCGCAAGTCCAGCATGCCCTAGTCACAGCAATAGATCAAGTGGCCACCGAGAACGGCCAACACCCCCGCCTCCTGATCACGAACAATGCAAAATAATATCTCGCGAAGCAAGTGCAAGACAAACTGCGACAAAGAGGTATCACCTACCGCGCAACGACGCCGTACACTCCACAAGAAAACGCGCTCGCAGAACGTATCAACCGAACACTGATGGACAAAGTACGCGCCACCCTCTCTCACGGCAACCTCCACGCAACACACTGGCAAGACGCCCTACAAGACGTCGTGTACAAGTGCAACATCACGTACCATAATGGAATAGGAGCTCTACCGCACAACAAATGGCATGGCACAGCGCCCCGAATTAAATCGCTCATCACATTCGGCCAAATAGGGTATATCCCCAACCTCAAACCACACCTCCCTAAACTCCACAGCAAGCCCACACAAATCAGATACATAGCTGACTCTACAAGACCCGACATGGCCCTCGCGGCGACAACACTAGCGAGAGCGCTAAAAGGACCCACGCAGCGCCACTGGAAAATGCTGCAACGACTGGCACAGCACCTCCACGCGACCCGCACGGAGGGAATCCTCATGCTAAGAGGAACAAAACAGGGCATCACAATCGACGCGTTCTCGGACGCCGACTATGCCAACGACGAGACGACGCGAAAACCTGTCACCGGCTCTATCACGCTGCTTAACGGCTCCCCGGAATGGCTCTCGCGACAACAACCGATCGTCTCCAAGAGCACATGCGAGGCGGAATGCATAGCAGCCGCCGAAACCACCACCCTCACAATCTGGCTCGCCAATATGATGAGGGAAACGAACATACCAACCCGCCAACCCGTCCTGCACGTCGACAATACGGCCGCCGTGCAGATGGCCAAACACACCGGCGCGACGCGCAGAAGAAAATCTATCGATGTACGATACCATTTCCTGCACGAGACAGTTCAAACCGGCAAACTCAAAGTATCACGCATTCCCACCACAGAGCAAAAAGCCGATATATTAACGAAACCGCTCAAAAACACGCTGTTCCAAAAACAGGAGCACAGCATACAAAACAACCCACCCCCGCACCGCCAGGAATCCCTCGCGTCCGGGGGAGTGTGGTTCCATCCAGAACCGCCAACGACGCTCAGACTTCCTAAACACAACGCTAACATAATGGTTCCATCCAGATAAGGCAGCCCTTACAGATAAGGCATACAGCCATTTAGGGCTACCACAGCAAACAGAATAAAGTCGCCGCCGCCTCCGCCACCTTCGGGGGTCGGAGGCATCGGTCTGATCTTGGCATCACACAGTTCGGACTCAGAACTGTATACAATATTACACTCCGAACTTCGGAGTGTGTACAATCGGACCAAAAGCCATCGCTCTGCCGCTGCCGCTGCCGCAGCCATGATCTGTAAATGAGCTGTGCTACTACAGAAGTCAAGTCGCCGTCATGAGCTGTTTCGCGACTATCCTCTATCTTGTGGTGCGCAACAAGATCCAACAGCGTCATGCGCCCCACTTACACCCAATCCCCACACTTGTGTAATGGCATAGTGCTACTCTAAAAGCTTTCCGCAAAATATTTTATTTAAGATTTTTCCCAAAACGACCGATCTTGACGTGTCTTTTCGCAATTGTCCTCCACTACACGTGTCTGGCTTCGGCCCCACAAGACACCCACCCCTTCACACTCCCCTCCGCTGCCCCCGCCCCCTTCCCCCCTCACCCCACCATCACGCATGAGGCCGATGTCGACGCCCACGACTTCTCTATCGCTGAACTCTGTAGCAACAAAGCAGCAGAGAAAGAGAGCATGAGAGAGCATCCTTCGTTTCGCGTCGCCTGCCGTGGAGGTAGCACCGAGAGCATTGAGGAGAAACACTGGCAAGTAATAATTTACATGAAGTCACAGTTCTTCATACACTAACTCTCACAGTCTACATTGCCTGGGATGCATTCTCTCTTTCCCTCACCGATGATCACGGTGGAATTGCCTGGAGATATGCGTTTGCACTCAGGGGAATGAGGAGTCCTTGGCCGTTTACGTTTGAATAGCGTTCTGAAGCATGCCACGATGCTTCGCACAGTGCGCTCGAAAGCGTTCCCTTTTCGCCGGACTCTTTGAGGTTGTTCGGGGTGCGTTGTATCACGCTCGAAAGCACCACTTGCGACAGAAACGGGACCATTGTCTTCCGACAACGTTGAAGACCCCTCCGAAATGTCGCTAGCCAAGCAGCCGTCGAGCTTCGCCACAACTTTCTGCTTCTCGGCATCCTTGGGAGCAATACCAAAATCTGTCTCAGGCTCAAGCGTGACTTTCGGTTCGCTGCACGAAATGGGCAAAGCCACATCATCACGTCCGACATGTTCAAGCATGTCGATTTCGACGCCCTTGATGGCGACTGTTTCGACCTCCACGACGCCGACATCCGGGAGGTGACTCTGTATTGAAGAATCACTAAACGCTGGGTCTAGGGACTCCACCACACTGTCGCGAGACAGTTGTCTGCCTTTATCGACGCTGAATCTTTCCAGCTCAACGACACAAACAGCAGCATGTTGATCAGAACCAAACTCGCCGTCGTCTACATCCATGACAGTCCCCGGGTTCCCAGTCTTCAGTCTGCGGTTGAGGAAGGGGGGCCCCTTCCAGGTGACAATCGTCCCATTACTCGCTACGACGTACTTGTACTGTAGCTCAGTATGGGCCGGGAGCGCAATGGTGGTTGTGAAGGCACCATCAGCGTATGAAAGCGGGAGCGGGGTAAGAGACCCCCATTCCGAAAGCTGAGGGAGGTCACCCACGAGGAAGAGGCCAGTGTCTCGGTCGCCAGGCGAGGCACGAACGCGGACGGTAATCGATGTCGACATTGCAGAAGACTGATACCAATGAAGTAAAGGGACGCGTGAGGGCTGAGGAAGGCGGGGGGTAGGGCAAAAGGACGAAGAGCTTTTGATAATTCCGGTGTAGAGCCGCAGCAAAGGAGGATGTGTTTGAGTTGGTTGATGGTGCGGTGAGGCGAAAGTACTTTGGAGGAAGGCGCGTCATTGATTTAGAGAAAATATCAAGCCGGAACAGGACGGACGGAAGCGATGGAAGAGGCGTTAGCGAGAGGCGGGGGAGAGGTGGTGTGAAATAATGCAGGGATGTCAAGAAATGAGAAGAGGGAGGGTACAACCGACGATAGGTTGGACGAGGCCCGAAGCGAATGTCGCCTGTCACCAGTGGGAATGTACATTACGTGCAGCACAAACTCCCGTCCCACAATTATCAACACATGTGATACAAGAATGGTCACGAAGTCTCCACTGGCTTCCATCCAAGGCTTGGCCATACGATGATGGGAAGGTTGTAAACTGTCGCATCTCCTCTGGTAATCGTGAGATGCATCTTTGCTGCTTCGCCTCTCGCAAAGCCATGAAAAATCGAAATCCTGGCGTCGTGCACATCGCTTGTCGGCGACCCTATGCGTACGCCTGCCATGAGATGTCTTACGCCTCAATCGACTAACACGAAATGTCGCATGCACCTAGAAAAACCGGCTGCGACAGGGGTACTCCCGTCCTACCCTGATTGGATTTCCGACTGGTGTCGTCGCAAATGTTGAGGAAGAGGGAACGCGCGCCCTTTGAAGAAAGTGCGGTGCAAGAAGCGATAGCTCGTTTTTTTCTGTTCTTGGGACTCGTCTATCTTATTCTGTATTAGGACGGTCCCTGTCTCCGTCGTGCCCTGTGACCCGTTGGTGCTGTCGTATGTGTACCACGTGTATGCATATGGCTCTCATGATGTCATGTCAACAGAAAAGAACCGGTTTTTCTCTTACCGTAACGGACAGGTGCAGTATCATGCAGAGCTGTCGCTCCCCCAGGTACCGTTACCCTTCCTGCAAAAGACCACGGTGTCTTCAAGCACTTGAAACCAGTTGTGCCCGCATACCTTCAACGTATCTCCAACGTCATTGTAGGAAACCATCGACGGCGGAACGGTACCTTTTACTTTTTTGTAGGCGTTTCTACATCTTCATCTAGACATACCCCTCAATTTACGATCAAACCACCCACATCTTTTGCAGTACCGTCCTCACTCTCTCTCGCTACGCGAAAAGCTGCACCAGTCTGAGTGGGAAAAGGACTCGCCGCGATCCCAGCAGCCCAAAACAATCCTTACGAATGATAGAATGAGACGATGCCGAGTGGATTTTAGGAGCCTGTTGCATTTCGTACGAGATAAAAGAGATATTACGCCACCGCAATTCTGCAACTAAAATGCAAAGAAACCGAAATTGAAATTACAGTATGCAGTTTACCAATAGAGAGTTTACGAAGCAGCAATTCTACGAAAATTCTCGTAAAAAAAACAGGATTCAAGACAGGTGTCTCAAAGAAACGGGATTTGCCCCCGAATGCAGTTTCAGGTATTCGTTCTTTCGCCTCCTTAACGAAATTAAAAATAAGTAGAACTGGGGCACCCCTCCCCCACAAGAGCCAATTTGTATTCTGTATTTGGCGCGATGTTAACGACTTTCGGCGCTGACATATGGAATTCCTCCTTCCTCCTCCTGCACCTTCACTACCTTCCCACATGCACTACGTCCCCCCACACACCCCCACATCCCTCCCCAACCCTCAACCCTGACAAAAATCCACCAGACCATGGCATCGCTGCTTCCGTCACCCCAGCCTCTAGGGCCTGCTCCTCCCTCAAGGACAGCCGCTATCCCTTCCCCCTCCCCTGCATCAAATGCGGACTCAAACACCCCTTCCGCTGCCCCTCCCATCCTGGCAAGCCCTTCTGGGTCCTACCCCAGTCCACCATCAAAGCCTCTGCAACTCGCCCAAGTACAACCACGCGCTCGGCGTTTTAGATTCACAGAAGCGGCAGACGTGCACCTCTTGAAGGCTGTTTCTTGTGCGGGGGCCCATAGTGCTCCTTGGGGCCATAAAGGTGCCCTCTTGAAGAGGCTCATGCAACCTTTCTACGAACGGCCCCAAATTCTGTTGTTGGTGGGAAAGAGCCCCCATCCCAGAAAACCCTTGAGGACAGGTTCAGGGCAGTTGTAGTCAAGCGGCGGAAGGCGATGAAGCGCACAGCGGGAGCATCGGGGATCGTGGAAGTCTATAGGGAACGGGAGACCGCAACCGTCTTGCCGATTGTAAAATCGGTTTGCCTAATGTTGTCGTTGCAATTGGGGATGAGGACTGATCACCAGGGGGTTGTCTGGGAAGCACGTCATGCATTGAGTGTGTAGGGTCTTAGCACCGTCGCTCTTGTACTTGTACAGTAACAGGGGCTCCCGACTAGTTCTCATATTTACATCACAATTATGTAGAATAAACACCCCAACGTCGAGGGGGTGTATGCACAGTCCTGCTAAACCCTGATTAGAGAGGGGAAGCAACCCCGGCCAACGGAATCGGGCGAGCCCGGGTAGCAGTGGTAGAGCGGGTACGGTCGGGGACGCGCGCACGCGCGGGCCGATCTACGCCTCGACGCCCCGCAGCGCTGGGTGACGTACCAGCGCTGACGGGCGGAGGCGGATGTAGGCTCGCTCGCGTGCTCGCACGTCCCCTGCCCGCTCGACTCCTAACTAGATACGGGGCTAGTGGGAACCCGTTCTAGAATAAGCGGGGCGAGCTTGACCAGAGGCGTGGGTTCTGGACAAGCTCATGCTTGTCCTCCCCTATCGCCGTCGGTCCGCTCACGTATTTAATGTACAAGTTAGTCTATCATACTACAGTACAGTACGTACTATACTGTAGTGCTACTGTGGTCGGCTACAGTAGTGGGTGCGGGTCGCGCGTACGTTAGGGCTGTCAGCATTCGGTGCTGACAGCACGCGCGCTCGTGCGCGTCGTACTGTAGAGCTCGGGCTCTACAGTGGCTGATCTAATCTAAATCTAGTCCCAGGGGGTTATACTACAAATTACAGGTTCGTACTTAAATGCTGTGAACAATACTCCGCCAAATGCGGACTAATTTTCCCATAGATTTGTAACGAACTTTTGTCTCAGAATTGTGCTTTGTAAACTCTCTAATACGTGTAATAAAAATGGCGCCAAACAGATGCCACCGTGTGAGACGTGGACCCGCCGGAGTGCGGGCGGGTCCCGCGCGACGGGGTCGAAGGCGATGTAGAGGTACGGGCGGAAGCGCGACGGCGAGGTGGAGATGGCGTGGATGTGGCGGCGCGGGGTGGACTGCGGCGCGGGCAGGCACGGCGAGGGGAGGCTATCCCGGTCGAGCGGCGGGTGCTTGGGCACTGGGAGCGAGCCGCCGCGGAGGAGCGAGGGCTGGGGCAATGGCGAGGGCTGGTTGAGCCCGTCGGGGAGGTGCGGGCACGACTTGGTGTTGGTGTCCTTGGGCGGCGGGGACGCGGAGGGCGGCGGCAGGGGCGCCGGCGGAGGGGAGGGGAGGGGGACGGGAGGGCGGTTGGATTCGGGGATGGCGATGCCGGTTACGTTTGGCCCCGCGGGTGGAGGCGGCACATGCGGAAGATAGCGCGAGGTTGAGGGCGCAAGGCTGTTGGCGGAGTCTATCTAGGAGCGGGACTGTGAGGACTTGAGAAGGTCCTCGTAGACGAGGCGCGTGTGGGGTAGCACGCGCGTGAGGGCGCGGTTGTCGGGAGCAGCCAGGTAAGGGCGGGGGTGGCACGGGGAGCTGGGAAGCGGAGGAAGGGGTTGGAGGCGGACGAGTGGGTTCGGAAAGAAGCAAGGAGGCGAAGGGGAATGCGGTGGGGAGTGTGGGCGGTGTCGTTCTTTTAACTTAAGGAATGGGCATTGGGAGTGTGTGGGGGCTAAGGGGCGGAAGCCGTTAGCGTGTTTTCTTGCGCTGTTTGAACGACTCCATCATAAGCTTGAATGTTTCAAGCTTCTGGTTGTTGGCCTCTTCTCGTTCCTTGCGCCGCTCTTCTCTATCCATCTCCTGCTGTTCTAGGTCTATCGTAAAGCGCCGCTCTTCGAACTGTATGCCCGCCTCGTCGCTTTACAAGGACAAACCTCTGGAGTAGAGGTGTCTGGGCTGGGAGGGGCTTTGGTCGCCATGGCACAGTTGAGAGTGCGAAGATGATGCGGGCATCCGCGGCTCTTAAGGGTGAGTTAGAAGGCGGTAGCATCCACGCCTCGGCCGCCCTGGCCCTGCCCGCCTGCTTTCCGCCCATCCTGACCTTCGTCGACCGCGCCCGCCGCACCGGCACCGCCGCTGTGATCCCCTGCACCCAGGGCATCTTGCGCAGCGTCACCGCCGCCTTCGCTTATGTTATGATCACGAACGGCCTCCCGCTGGACGAAGCCATGTGGAACATGCGCCTGTGCCGCCCCATCGCCGCCCCCAGCTACGCTTCTACGCCCTGCTGCGCCGCATCGAGCGCGGCCTCCGCCACAGCCCCTCGGCTGACGCCCTCGTCCTCGTCCGCCCGCACGCACCCACACACCATAAGTTCTCTGCTCACTACCCTCGCTTCCCCGCCTTTCATCGGCTGCTGCTGCTGCTCGAAGTTTATGGCACAAACATGGGCACCAGATACTCGTGGCCATCATCGGCCGATTCCCCACCCCCCGTCCTTTACCCCCTACCCTTCTATTGAACTAACTCACATCCTCCCATACCGCATCCCCCATATCCCTACTCCCTTGTCTCACATCCCCACGGCACTCCCGCCCGCCCGCCCGTCCGCGCCGCGCTTCAGACGGCGGAGGGGGGTGGACGGTTGGGAAAACAAAGTGGTCAGGCCTTCATGTTTAGGCCCTACAGTTTTGAAAGGTGGCAGGTTTTACAACAGTTTCCGGCAGAGCAGTCGCCCTCGTACAGTTTTTCCCGCTTTGCGTGCGACTTCGTCTGCCTTTACATTGTCTTCCGCTTGCGCTTTGCCCTGCCACCCTTTCACACAAAATTGTAAAGGGTCATTTTGTCGTTAGGGGGGCGACAAGGCGTTTTTCTTAGAATAGAGGGGGGCGATTTTTGGTTTTCTTGAGTATCGGGGGGGCGATTTGACAAAATATCAAGATACAGTAGGGCGGGTTTCGATAATGTTCAAGAGAGGAGGGGCTACTTGATGTCACTTTTTCACTGCCGCCGTACTGTGACGGGACTCAAGGTCAGAGTCGCCCTCAACTTTTTTCAAAAAGACTCAAATCGCCCCGACAAATTTCTCAAAGTTCTATTGTCTCCTCTTTCCTTGCAAAGTCGCCCCTCTATTTCCCCCCTTTGAGCTCATAAGTATACTCTGTCCCTTGTCTTCCCCAAAATGTCCACGGTTTCTCAAGAAACCGTCCTCGCGCTGCGTCATTTGTCTACAGTTGAGATCGACGTAACCCCTCTGGTGAATATCTTTTCCGTCGGGCCGTCGGTAAAGGCCATAAAACGAAGCTATCGCAGGTTGGCGCTTCTTGTAAATCCAGATGGCATCGGTGACAAAGACAAGTTTGGGGCACAGCGTTGCATGAGTATTCTTTGTCGAGCGATTGAACAGGTCAATACAGAAGAAGCATATGAGATTATTTTGCGGAACCAGT